TGCCAAATGTTCTACGCCGTGGTAGTCGTTCTACGTTGTGGTTGTGTTTGCAATGATGTAATGATATATTAATTGCTGTATGCACTTTTAAAAGGAATCCTACTGTTTAAAAGTTAGAGATTGGACAAGTTTCTAATGCATCAAATCAAATTGGGCAGCATTTCAACAATGACAAATTCCAGGTATTTTAAGCATCATTCTTTGTTTTTTTTAATCTGTAAACATCTTGTTTTTGGTTTGTTTAGATGCCTATGATGTGTGTTGTTCATATTTCGGTCTACTGCAGCAGACAGAGGCAAATCTTTTTAGCAGTCTGAGAAACCATTTACAGAACGCTGCTTTGTGTTTAAAAAGATAAGATGCTGCGCACAGGATGTTTTTTTTTTTTTTTTTTTTTGTGATTTTGTTTTTAAAGTGCTTGCTATGTTGTTATCAAGTAAAACAGTCGTCATGCCAACTTGCTACGGTAAACAGAAGCTTGCGATTCTTGCTCCGCCTTTGAGTTCCTCCTTGTCCACTGCTTAGGGAATGACATTGAGCGGTGCTGTGTGTAAAAGTTGAAATTCTTTCAACTTGACACAGCATTTCAAAAATGTCAAGCAAAATGGAAAAGTAGCGCATTGGAATGGAAAAGCATCTTCTGTGTGAATGGCCCCTTGTGCATAGCAATAACTGCATTAACAGAGCAATTTTACCAGAATTCATTTTTGTCCAACCAAAGCTTCCAGGTCTGAACACAGCCCAATTCAACCCATTACACTTTGGATGCAGTATACTAACCAAAGCTTGAGTCCTGCACAGGCCTTAAATCTAAGCTTTAACCAGGGACGCACAGGCTGTAGCCCTGCTCTTGTCTAACAGCTTATCAAAATGTTTGATCCGAAGATTCTCTTTTTTCCGCTTATACTGTTACAGCCATTAAAATAGACCAGATTGGTATTTAATAGAAATTTTTTTTTTCCCTTTTTTAAAATCAATATAATTTAGCGCAATGTTTGGATTTTTTTTTTTCTTTTTTTAAGTGACATCTAGATTCAAACGGTATGTGGTCCATAGTAAGTTTACTCAATTTACAAGTTGTGCATTGTGCATAACCAGTTGGCTCCTAATTTAAAAATTGTCACTATTTGAAAAGTTGACCAGAAGTTTGCCTTTCCTCTAGAGTTTCTTTCACTGTTTAAGTTTGCCAGTTTCAATTTTTCTCTTTACAGAGTGTCTGCGGGGTCTTAGAAAGTTTTAAAAGTTGATAAATCAGTTATGAGAAAATTAAGGCTCTTATAAGTTATTAAAGTCTTAATTGCATTTTTATGAGGTCTTAAATTTTGTTCAAGCGTTGTACGCAGTGTTTGACTCTAACAAAGCATAAATATATTTATTTTCCTCCTAATATTAACAATGGCGTGCTTGATCCACACGGTTGGTTCAGGCTGGGGCACTTCTGGCCAAGCTCCTCTGTCTGGGTGATATCACGTAATTTGCGACAAACATGGGAAGGTGATGTGATGCTCTCCACATGTTGCTAAAGCGTAAAGCGAAACAGACAGCAAAATGGGAAAATGTAAGTTTGCGTACTCCTGGTTGGGGAAAGACGAGTTTAAACAATGCCAAAAGCCTTTCGCTGAAAACAACCGTGTAATTTATTCTTTTAAGCTTTGTTTCTTCCGAGCTTATCTGAGTTCTGTTGCATGGCTGTGCTACATTGATTTAGCTACAACTCTTTATTAACAACTGTTTAGTAAGTTAAAGGTTTAATACTAATTAGAACTTAAAATGGTAATGAGGTCTTAGCTTTAAGACTTTAAGACCTCAGAAAATTATTTAAATTACCTTTAGGATTCCTGCATATACCCTGCTTAATGTTCTCCATTGCATGTGGCTTGAATTCTCTATGCACATAGCATCACTAGCACTTCTGGACCACATGCATTCGAATTCATCAAATATTTTATTACGTTATTTAAGAAAAAAAAACATTTTTAAAGCAGGTCCAAAGCCTGATATGCGTGCTAGCTATGACGTGAAAATTGTCCTGAAGCCTGGCCCTAGGGGCATAAAGTCAGTCCCCAACGGGCTCGGGCTTAAATGCTGGGCACTAACCAAAGTGACAAATAAGAACATTTGGGTAAACTATGCATTGAGAACTTTTGCACACCCTGTATGCTAGCGCACTTCTATGATCAAATGTGTTTCATTTTTGAATGATCTATTCCTTTTTAATAAAATATCAGGAGTAATGGATGGATAATCCTCTTAAACATTAAACCTGCTGTGCCTTGGCCTTCCAGCGTATTAGTTTGAGAACGCTAATGATTGTTCACCATTATTGTGTCAGTATGTATTTGATCATGATGGAACATATATTAATATCAGTCTCTTTATTTCATGGTCCATATTGACAGGGTAATATGATTCATGACTGTTGTGATTTTTAATGGTTTAAAAATAAAATTTTGCTTGTTAAAAAACACTTCTAGTTATGCGAATCAAACCTGCAAATGGTCTGTGCAATGACTTCATACAGTAGCAGTAGTTTAGTTTATATTCACTCCATAACACCAGTCCAGTATTTTACATTACTCCTTTTTGTGACCAGACGTGGTTTCATTTCACAGAATGAGGAAGAAATCCAGATATTGTCACAAGCTTTTCTTTGTGTTTAAATTTGATCCATTTCATTAGGCTTCTATCATCTTGATCTTCTTTGCCCTCTAGCATCCAGCATGAATGAAACCGAAAAAAACATCAACGTGTTATCACAACACTATTTCAGAGGTCTTAAACTTCTCATGGTGACCTACTGTCCTAGTGCTTATCAAACCTGGTTTAGCGCATCTGCATGTATTTAATATGATCCTGAAAAGCTTAATTCAGCTGCTTCAGTATGTTTAATTATAGTTGAGCTCTGTTGGATTGTAGACCAGGAGCAGTTTGAAGATCTCTGCACTATATTGACCTTATTCTAAAATGCGAAAGTGCACCTGGTTTTGCAATTTGTCTTCGAACTTCCGATTCAGTCGCCTATGGAAGAAATGACTAGGAATAATAAACAGCAGAAAATGGTCAAACTACTTGCTCTACAAACACATGTTTGCATGACTATACAGACCAAGTACAGTAATATAATAAGAAAATATCAAATTGCAGCATCAAGCAGAGTAACGAGCAGTTTTTAAAGTCAATAAAATAAATGGAAGTGAATGTGAACGGAAGTCGCTAGACAAAAAGATTCAAATGGCAACGCCCGCTCGACGGCGGTGAATACTGTTGAAGTGAAATTTATCAGCCCTTTTTTCTTAATTAGTTCCCATGTAATGTTTAACAAAGCTAAGAATTTTTCACAGTATTTCCTAATATAATAATTTTTCTTATACAAAAAAGTCTTTGTTTTACTTCGGCTAGAATAAAAGCAGTTTTTATTTTATTTTTGAAACAATTTTAAATTGTAATTTAAAAAAAAAAAAATTATTGTCAACAGAAAAAACCATCAACATACAGTGACCTGCCTAATTAACCTAGTTAAGCCTTTAATTGTTACTTTAAGCTGAATAATAGTATCTTAAACATAGGGCTGGGCAATATTGCAAAAAATATATCACAATATGTAGTCAATCAAGGGCCATAAATACTTGCAAAATAAAAGAATGTTTTGAAAACAAAAGAAGAAAGTATTGAGCAAAAAATAAATTAATAAATGCAAATCTCCCAAAACCGCAAAGCGCAAATTTATTTTTGTGAAAAAGGAAAAAAAAAACATTTTGCTATCAAAAATGAAGATCAACAAAGAGAAAATTAAGTTTTGAGAAATAAAAATGAAATTTGCTAACAAAAAAAAGAACTGCAATTAAAAAAAATGTAAAGCCAATGCTATAAAAATGTTTAGCAAATATATATAGTTTTTTTTTTTTTGCAAATATTTTAGTTATTTATTACACCGCTTTTCATTTGCAGTTCTTTATTTTTGTTAGCAAAATTAATTAATTTCTATTTCTCAAATTTTCGTTTTGCGGCTTTTGTAGATTTGCATTTATTTTATTGCTCAATACTCTATTTTTTGTTTGCAAAAACTTTTATTTTGCAAGTATATATGAACTTATATTGACTCCATAGGTATCAGGTTTCATATAATTCGGTATTGATAATTATTTAATGTTTTTTTTAACAATTCATTTATGAATATTAGAATTTTTCTTTATTTAAGCACTAATTTAGTTTAGCAATATTACTAAGGCAAAGGGTTTTAATAGTCAAATGCAAAAATATTTAAACAAAATAACTAATCTCTTTGTAATATGATAAACATAAGAGACTATTAAATTTAATAAATAAAATGTTTGTGGCATTCTGAAAAGTTCAGATTTTTTTCAACTAGGAGTAACTGGCAATTGCGCATGCATCACGTCACTCCATGTTATTACATTTGAATAAAACTATATACCCTTCTTACCAAACTTTATTTTATCGTTACTGATAATAGTGTCTGGTCAATTAATAAAGATACCGATTTTATCACCCAGCCCAACCCCCCCAAAAAATAAATTCTTGTAAAATATTATGCAATGTCATCATAACAAAGATAAAATAAATCAGATATTAGAAATGAGTTATTAAAACTATTATGTTTAGAAATGTGTTTAAAAAATCCATTAAACAGAAATTGGGGAAAATATACAAGGGGGCTAATAATTCAGGAGGGCTAATAATTCTAACTTCAAATGTATATTGTCGATAATAATGTTATCACAACAAATAACAAAAAATCTAATTGTATATATTTAATTCCATAGCTCCCATCCCTAGTCTGCAGGATTTCATGTTTGGCACATCTTGGCGTACTGCGAAATATTAGTTTTAAATTTTCAGTGACCTGTATTTTCATACTAAGAATACTTTAATATAAGTACACATACAAAAGCATAGGTATTGAAAGCATTAGTGCAACAGTAGCAGATATAGTTGTTGCTAGGTTTTTGTTAATGTGCTTTTTGTTTTTGCTTCTGCAGTGTGTGCTCTATCTGTGGGCTCTGAAGATCAACCACCCGACCACCCTCTTCCTCCTCAGAGGCAACCACGAGTGTCGGCATCTTACGGAGTACTTCACCTTTAAACAAGAATGTAAGCTCAACTCTTTTTCGACTCGTAACTTGTGTGTGTCTGTAAACGTTATCAAGAGAACGAAATGAGATTTTACCACATCCTATCATTCAAGCCTGTCACGGCAATTTTTTCCCCATTACCATGCTGGCATCCCGAGAGGGATGGTGTCAGGAGAGTATTGGATGACGGGCCACAGGCTCAGAGCTCAATCACATCCCTCGGCGCTCGTCAGGGCTCTTCACTCCCCACTTAGATTTACATCAGCCATCATCCCTGTCATGACAAACGCTGACAGCTAACTGAAGCCTTCACACAGGAACGGCTGTCTGCTTTCCTCTAGCAGCTGATGATCATAAGCAGACCCACACAGATTCTGTGCAAAATTGTAACACCTGCCATTTATGCAGTTTTATTAATCCCTTGTTTAACGCGTTCGATAAATATTTGGCTAATAATTATGCTTCAAGCTGCTGCTGTGGAGTTTTTCAAAGTCCTTTGTTTTAAGCTCATTTTTGCAGTGTTAACATTTTCACTGGTAAAGTTGTATTATTATTTTTTTGATTCATATTTTGATTATTAGGGATGTCCCAATCAAGTTTTTTTTTGCCCTCGAGTCTGAGTCATTTGATTTTGAGTATCTGCCGATATTGAAACCCGATTCAATACTTCTATAATACATAAAACATTCTTCACTTTTTTAGACTTTAGTGCAACAAGAAATATAAAATTAATATAAAACAAGTAGCACCTCAAAACACACGGCAGGCAATCCCAAATTTACATATCACACTGTTTACTATGTCAGTGTTGTCGTCATCAACTTTATAATACTCCAGACCGCAGACAAACGCATGCTTTCCACTTCAAGCTGCTTCTGTGTTCTACTTTGCCAGCATTTAACCAATAGCGTCTTTTCAACAAAGTGATGTCATGCCGCACATGTTGCTGTTTCTGTCTGTCTGTCAAGAAAGAGGTCAATCAAAAGTTTTTAAATATTTATATACATACATACATGCATACATGCATTCGAGTCCTATTTGGGATGTAACGTCCGATACCGATTGAGTGTGAAACCACGTGATCAGGCCCAATTTCCGATTATGTGATTGGATCTGGACAACCCTAATTATTATAATTATTATTACTATTATTACTTAAAATCAAAATGAACAAAATGTTTTAAGTAAAACAATTTGTTTTGCAAGGCTCCATGTAACATTTGAATAGCGTTTATTAAATCATTTTTCAAAGCTGTGGCACTGGTATCTCGGACATGTAGTATCAAAATTACATGTCTTGTCTTTTAGAAATAAATATCACAGCTTGAATGGACAGTGGCAATATGTTGAGTTTAAGGATAAAGATGTAAATTCGACAGATTGTTCATTTATAAAAACACTAGAAGTATGCAAAACATATAATGTAATTTTTCTATTAATTCACATAACAACTTAAATAAAAGTTACTTTATGGCTGGTAATTATAAAAATATTAGCCTGATGACATTTAGTACATAGTATAAAAATGTATTGATAAATATAGACATGTTTTTTTTCATTGTCTTTTATAAGAGCTCCTTTAAAAAGCCATAAACGATCTTTAATCAGAGCAGATAGTCTTAAAATTAGTAAAATGATAGCAATAGATGTTAAATGCACTGAGAAAACTGAATATAATAATCAGTATTTTTGTTTTTGCTTTTTATGAACATCCTTCAGTATGTCCTTTTCAAAATACTCATTAAATGTTACAAGAGTTATGTTATGTGAATTTGTATGTAAAACACATTTGCTCTGTGCGCGTGCTGTTTTTTTTTTTTTTTTTTTTTTTTGATCGCACAGTGTGACTTGTGTTTTAAATGAGTACAGCGGTTATATTTGCCCTGCCATTTAATGTTTTTCATATGCATAAGGACATGGCAACCCTTATCTGGTAGGCAAATTGGTAGCAGCACCAGTGCAACCTCAAAATTAATTGCTACCAACATGGAAACACACACACACATACTTACACAAAAACAGCCATTTAATCACAGTCTGCAGCCATAAGTTTTAGTTCTACTAAATAATTAAATTTTAAGCTTCGATTCATATGAAATTGTAATGTCAAATGTATCAGTGGTCTGCATCAAGAACTCTTTAATTTAGCCAATCAGAATCCACCCATTGTCCAATGACATTTCTGTTTGCATCAGCACATCCTGGTTGGAAATGCGTTTATTCAGACTAAAATCGAGGTTGGCTGTTTTTCCAATCCAGCTAATCCAGCACTGGATCTCGCAGTGCTGTTAATAATGGTTGGGTTATCTGGATTAGTTAGTAAAGCCCCATTCACACAGCACAATCCCATTCATTTTAATGGAGAGCTGGTGACTTCCGGCAACTAGACTTACAGTGACCATTGGTGACAGGATGTGGCCATGGCAAGCAATGGGGGATGTTAGACAAAAACTCGCTTGCTTCATTCATACACTGCTCCAGCACTAGCAATCAGTAGTCGCTGTGCTGACTAAGCCTAAATTTGTTTCTTAAACTCCGACAGCCATTTGGGTTTTATTTACAGATGTATAGCAATGATGGCAAAATTCATACATTAGTTTTAAGTTCATTGTTCACATTAGAACAGAAATCGAAATACGGCATGTGGATTATGCAGATTTTAGTCTGCATAATCCATTGACTGAAGTGCAGTCCAGACATGTGAACCCCTTAATCATACTATTACCATTGTGTAGGATTTTTGCTGCATTTTGCGACAGGATAGTCTGTACACACGACTGTTTGACACTATTCTCTCCACCTATCATTAAACCACCACAGACACCCGCATCACAGATTTTCCTATGCAGTGTCTTAATTCTATTAAAACAACACTCTTCCAGCTGGTCATAATCTCATCCAATATCTTGTTTGTCATGTGGGGCATGCATTAAATGTTTCTGAATGAAAGTGAAAGTGCAAAACTGCAGTTAAAGTCAACAAAACACCTGAAATTACATGAATCTCTGGAGGAAATGCAGATGGTGTGGTGACGCAAAGACGTTAATCGAATAAAGTGCTATAACATGTAAAACGGGATCATGAAAGCAACTCATGTAATTAAGCATTTACTACACTGTAAAACCCAATAAGTTAAGGTAACTCAAAGCATTTGAGGAAACCGATTTCAACAAACTATTTAAGTTCAAAAACTAATCCTAATGAGTAGTGTAAACTTAATCCATTTCAATAAAGAAAGCAATCTGAGCACAATAAAACCCAATAAATGAAAAGAACTCAAACCAACTGAGTACTGTAAACCTCAATAAGGCAACTCAAACCGTTTGAAGAAACCAATTGCTACAAACCATTTGAGTTAAACTAATCTATACAAGTACTATGAACTTACTACATTAAAGTTGAAGTAATGAGATATTTAATTAACTCATTACCTTCAACACTGAGCTCAACTCTTTTTCAAATGAGTAGAATTAACTTTCAGCCAATTTTGGGTTAACAACACTCATTTTAGTTGATATAGTTGACTCTTGGGTTTTACAATGCACTGATGACAGGCATTTATGCATTCACTCTATTCTGTTGGTGCTGTGGTGGATCAAGTTGCTAATTAGTCAGTGTAACTTGAAGATTAAATGTGAACCATAGTATCATTCTGTTATATTCTTTAACGTTTACATACACAGCAGAAATTGCATCACAAATCAGTTTAGCAAATTAGTAGTGGCACCACTGCGAAACTCAAAATTAATTGGCGCCAACATAAAAACGGAACAAAAGAACAATTCAGACACAGTCTTCTACCAACTAATACAAAAACGTTTTGATTTGTAACGTCAAATGGATCAGTGGCCTGCATTAAAAGCTCCCCTATTTTAGTCAATCAAGATCCAATGGCATTCCCGTCAGCATCAGCAGAAATCTTGGCTCTTAATGTGTTCATTCAGCCTAAATGGAGGCTGGCTGTTCATCCAATCCAGCTAATCAAAGAGCCTTTGATAAGGATGTGCTGCTTCATCGCAGTGTTGTTCTTTTGCTCATCACGAGGCGGCCTGTTTCTCATCTGTCAGTGCTGCTGTTTACAATATGCGGCGCGGCTGGCCCATTCTAAAATGTCAGGATTTAACGGTGGTATGCGGGCCCCGTGTTCCACGTGTAACCGGTCTCTGGCCTCCTTTTAATCAGCCTCCCGCCGCGCTCCTTTCCTCACTTCATCCCAATTAGCACACGCGTCTGCTTGCAACATCACCTAACAAGGCATGCGACATCCTCCTCCTCCTCCATCTATTCCTTGGAAAGTTGGCAAGCCCCCTGTTCTGCCCTCACCCACCCAGCATTACTGTGATATGTCAAAAGGACCAGCGTGACAGCCTTGGCTTGAAAAGCTCATTCGCTCCTTTAGCAAGTGTTCAGAGATGCATGGGTGTTTTTTTTTATTATGCTTCTCTCATCGCAGGCAAGATTAAGTACACGGAGCGGGTGTATGATGCCTGCATGGAGGCCTTCGACTGCCTTCCTCTGGCCGCTCTGCTCAACCAGCAGTTCCTCTGCGTTCACGGAGGTCTTTCTCCTGAGGTCACCTGCCTCGACGACATCCGGAAAGTAAGTTTTTTTTTTAAATTTTTTTATTTGGCATTATTTTTATTTGTGCTGTTGTTGTTGTTGTGTTCAACCGTATTGGATGGCAGGGAGTTTGTTACTTTTTTTAAGATAGTGTTTTGAGTGCTGTTGTGAGGGTTCTTTTGAAGGGGATGATTTTATATATGCAGCTTCTCAGGGAGTTGTGCTGTTAAACCACAGCGAGCTGTCAACGTGCTCAAGCATTCTTGTGAGAGGTTGCATCTTTAAACTGATCTGTTTTAAGCCTTGCTAAGAATATTCAAGTTAAAAAAAAGACATGGAGTTTAGATGAACTCGATTTTGCCTTGCTGTTTGTTGTCTGAGCACTACCGATTATTTTGAATTCTTTCTTTAATTATTGTTAAAAATATTTAGATTCTTATTATTTTTGTTATTCTAAGATATAGAAAAGTTCAGTTTTTAATATTTTAAACTTAAGATTCATCTTATTTCTACTTATTTCTACTCTAAATCTATTAATAGTAACTGAGCAATATTGTTAATTCAATAAATAAATAATTGAAATGTATTTTATTCAAATACTTTATTTTTATTTGTAGCATAATTAAAGACAATTTAATATAATATTATTATTTCTACACTGTAATACCCAACAGTCGACTTTATCAAATGAAATTAGTGAAGTTACTTCAAAATTGACTGAAAGTTCATCATCATCATTTTCATCCGCTTATCCGGATCGCGGGGGCAGCAGTCTTAGGAGAGAACCCCAGACTTCCCTCTCCCAAGACACTTCTTCCAGGTCCTCCGTGGAGATCCCGAGGCGTTCCCAGGCCAGCAGAGAGGCATAGTCTCTCCAGCATGTAAAGTGTCTTCCCCAAGGCCTCTTCCCGATGCGACATGCCTGGAACACCTCCCTAGGTGGGCATCCTGGAGGCATCCGAAACATGCCTGAGCCACCTCTGCTGACTTCTCTCGATGTGAAGGAGCAGCAGCTCTACTCCGAGCTCCTCCTGGGTGACCGAGCTTCTCACCCTTTCAATAAGGGTGCGCCCTGCCACCCTATGAAGGAAACTCATTTCTGCTGCTTGTATCCAAGATCTTATTCTTTCGGTCATGACCCAAAGCTCATGACCATATTAAGAGTAGGAACGTAGATTGACCAGCAAATCGAGAGCTTTGCCTTTCGGCTCAGCTTCTTCTTCACCACAACAGACTAGTACATCGACCGCATTACTGCTGCCGCTGCACCTATCCGCCTGACTGAAAGTTAATTCTACTTATTTGAAAAGAGTTTTGTACTGTGTTGAAGGTAATAAGTTTATTAAATACCTCATTACTTCAACTTAGAGTAAGTGAACAGTACTCGTATAGATAAGTTTTTTAACTGCAATGGTTTGTAGCAATTGGTTTCCTTAAACAGTTTGAGTTATTATTAGTTTTACCATACACAGCTGATTTAAGTTCTCTTCATTTATTGGGTTTTACTGTGCTCAAATTGCTTCATTTACTCAAATGGAGTAAGTTCACAGTACTCATTGGGATTAGTTTTTGAACTTAAATGGTTTGTTGCAATCGGTTTTCCTCAAAGTTTGAGCTACCCTAACTTTTGGGGTTTTGCAGTGTAGTAAATGCTTAATTGAAATAAAATATAATTTAATTTATCAATTTAGTTTATGTTAATGTATTTTTAATGCAATCTATGTTTATCGTATAATAAAAAAAGATGGTCTATTTTAGGGCTGCGCGATTTGGACTAAAAAAAAATCTCAATTTATTAAACATTTAAACTCGATTGGGATTTAATGAACCATTATTTTATTTATTATTATTATTTTTTTTTGCCTTCATGATTCACTGACAGGTTTTGTAAAGTAAATATGCTCAGATAATACAAGTGAGAGATTTCTGAATGAACGGTTCATTACTTATAATTGAAGGAATGGCACACTACCTACTATCTATGATTATTTATTGAACATCAACGTTGAACAACTGAAATTAAAGCACACATTGCCTTAAACCAACAGTGACTGTGTTATTATAAAAAAGTTAATAACTTGCACTTTTGGAAACAATAAATAATTTTTATTGTTGTTCATATTAAAAGTAGAAAAAAAGCAGTATCTCTTCTAAATAAAATAACTCTTGCATGTCCTGTAAACAATATTTTAAAGGTGCATTACTTCCATCTTCTGAGAACGATATTTTAATGTAAATAATCATTTTAATGTAATGGAAAATAAACCGTCTCAAGGCATCTCTGGTGCAGCTTACAATCATCGTCAATGTACAGCAAAGTAAGGCTCAAGAATGGGTGCATTGTCCTACTTGACCCTAGATCAGATGTGGCTGCAAAGTGTGACTGCAGAACCTGCTTCATACTTCTGTGTCGAGTAATCTGTCGTAACCCATACTGCCTGTCTTGCACGTAGCCGTGCATTTATACTTCTACGTGCTGTTTGTTTTGTGGGTTTTTATGCTCTTCTGTTTCTTTGCTGCTTTTGTTTTTTCTGAATGTTACCTTGAATGTATAAGAAGCTAAAAGCATCTAATTCAGAGGCGGGAACCAGATGATGTGCAACAACTTAGTTTCCAACTGGAGCTGCTCTACGGGACTTGAGCACCGCACATGCTTGTCACCGATACCAAGCTGAACAATCACAGAGCTTGCGCTACCCGTCGTTGCGACGTGTAGTTAATTTTTTTTAAGAGGTGTGTGTGACCTTGCGAAGGCTGAGTTGCACTATACCTGTCCATTCAACGCAGAAGTATAAATCAGCCTTAACAGAGCGGCGTCACATGACACCACAATCAATAGGGAATGTAATTGACAAAATCGTCCTGGAAAAATTATTTTATTTTTAAATTTTGATTACTTTTAATCTTCCAGTCCTAGTCTGTTTACAATTTTTTAAAGAAGTATTAATACTGTTATTATTTATAATATGTATATATTATTCACCTTTGAAATGTATACTCTTAATATGTTTTTTGATGAATGGATAGATCAAATTTGAAATCTTTAAAAATCTAAGCAAATGTAAACTGATGGCGTTTGTATTGTTGAACTGATGAATAAGTTAGAACAGAAACATTGAGTTCTTTGGTCTGACTGTTTGCATTGCTCTGCTGTTCTGCAGTTAGACAGGTTTAAAGAGCCGCCAGCTTTCGGGCCGATGTGCGACTTGCTGTGGTCTGACCCTGGCGAGGACTACGGCAGCGAAAAGACCTCCGAGCACTTTTGTCACAACAGCGTGAGAGGATGTTCCTATTTCTACAGGTACTCCAGCTGACAGTCTGCCCACATGCGCGTTTGTTTGATCGCTGCCTACTCAGTCCACATTCACAGTCGCACCTCTCAATGTTAGTCATGCCATTTTGACTGATGGACTGCTGGAGTTGCTAATTACACCTCTCTCTCTTTCCCTCTCTCTCCTTCTCTCTCTCTCTCTTTCTCTCTCTCTCCCTCTCTCTCTCTCTCGCTCTCTCTCCCCCCTCCTCTTAACAGTTACCCTGCAGTATGTGACTTTCTGACGAATAATAACTTGTTGTCAGTTATAAGAGCACATGAAGCCCAAGATGCAGGGTGAGTTCACTGCACACCACGCTTCGATTTCTTGGCTTATTTGGACGAGCACTCACTGACAATTGCTGTCCCATTTCACTGACCCCTTTAGGTATCGAATGTACAGAAAAAGTCAGACGACAGGCTTCCCCTCATTAATCACAATCTTCTCTGCACCAAACTACTTAGACGTGTATAACAATAAAGGTAAGAGCTCTTAAAGCGTTTGAGCTGGTGCCGTCATGCACCACAATTTGATTATGTGTAATTAATACACCTAATAATCATGTAGGTTTGTATATGGTAAGGTAATTTACGATCGCATAATGAGGAACAAATGTAACTTGAAATTCTAAATGAGGACTACATATTCTAGAAGTTTACAATAAATAAACAGACAAGAGCTACCATTTGTCAGTAGCAGTTATGTAATATGTTAATGTAGGTCTTGGAGTTCTTCTTTGAATCGTTTTCTCTGCTATGTTAAAAGCAGCTCAATGTGCAATTGAATTGTCAGCTATAAAGTGCTATGTAAATAAGTAAGGTTGCACCGATATGTAAATTTTGGCCAATACAGATAACCGATAACTCTTATATTTGGAAGCTGATAACCAATATACAAGTTGATGAATCCATAACTTGACATGCTTTTTTAAAAATACCTGATTACAAATGAATAAATGTGAACAGTGGATAGCTGGTTTTTAATTTAAATCCTTAACTAGCAAGGAAACAACCAGATCTGCTTATTTTTTTTAATAAGTGCTTATTATCAAATGTCTGCTTTATGCAGTTGCATTACCTTGAGGACACTAAAGCTGCACAAAAAATAGAAAAGTTACTGATATCGTTACTGATATAGAAAAGTTACTGATTATTTATATGCATGATATGCTTAACGCAGAGAAATTCAATTTATTTCAACTGACAAATTCACTTTGTTTGATGAATGCATAGTTTGTTTATCCAGATTTGACTTATCAGGTGCATTTTTATACCCACCTTCCCATCCCCAGTAGGTGCTGTTCTGCTAGTGACCCAAAGGTGAAGCTGAAGCAAAAATAATTAAAAATGAAAGATGAGATGAGATGACAGGAAAATGACAACAGCCAGAATCAGAATATCTGCTGAGGTTTTCACTCATTTATAGTGTTTTAAAGTCTGAATATTTGCACTTTGACACTTAAAAAAAAAAAAAAAAAAAAATGAAGTAGATTTAAGTCAGAAAGCATTGTCTTTTAGTAAGATCATTATATTTTAATATATACATTTTAAAATAGTTAATAACATATTTTAAATGTAAAAAGTAATATAAATATTGTATAATGTAATATAAATGTAATATAAAATCTAAAAAAAATGTACACTACCTGACAAAAGTCTTGTTGTCAATTCCTGTGGTAAGAGCAACAAAAAATAACTAGTTGATCATTTGTAAAAGTGGCAGATGGTATATTTTTCAATGAATCATCTGTTGAACTGCTTCCCAATCATCATAAATACTGTTGGAACATCCTATTGGAACCCGCATGATTTTCTCACAAAAATCAGTCAAGTTTGGTGAAGGAAAAAAATCATGGTTTGGGGTTACATTCAGTATGGGGTGTGCAAGATATCTGCAGAGTGGATGGCAACATCAACAGCCTGAGGAATTACGACATTTGTGCTGCTCTTTACATTATAAACCACAGGAGAGGGCAAATTCTTTACCAGACATGAACATTGAGCAAGATGAAGGAGGAGGCATTGAAGATGAATCCAAAGAATCTTGATGAGCTCTGAGAGTCCTGCAAGAATGCTTTCTTTTTATTCCAGATGACTTTATTAATGGAGTTATTTATTGAACACAATATTAATTCTTTTTCTATTGCAGCATGACTTTATATTCTATACTGTACATTATTCCTGTTAAGTGACAAAATCTTTGTCTAAGCAAAGTCAGACCTTACTGTCCTAATTAAATCATAAAAAAAATCAAGGCATGATCATATTTTATTTTTGGTAAAATAAGCATAATCTAAAAGCCTTTGTCCTTTCTTACTAGCCAGTTCTGATACCAAACGATCAACTAGAAGTCAAGTTATTATTTGTTGTTCCTAAAACTTATATAGGCAATAAGACTTATGTTAGGCAGTGTAATACAGAAGATTTACTCCAGGGAAAAGAAATACAGTAATTGCATATTTTCCCAATATCTTGCAGCCTTAGAAGACACCATACAAAACCCTACTAAAATCAATTTAAGTATTGGCTAAAACGATAAGGCCGGCAGAACATTATGCGTTGCTATATCTAAATGTCGCTCTGGATGTTTGCTATCAGTATACCTCTCCTCATATATTTTGAACTTCTTTTTAACCCATAAGTGACGATCGAAACTGAGCTTTACTGTGAGTATATTAGGACCTTCAGTCTTGGACAATCAGAAAAGGGTTTCTGACACATTCTCTGGTTTGATCCATCAAGCTGCTGTGTTGAAATATGAGAACAACGTGATGAACATCCGGCAGTTCAATTGCTCTCCTCATCCATACTGGCTGCCCAACTTCATGGATGTCTTCACATGGTCATTGCCCTTCGTTGGGGAGAAAGGTAAATAACAAACAGGAAGATTTGTTTACATTAATTTTGAAGTGCATTGGCTGGTAAAAAATAGTTTTTAATTCTCAATAGAACGTTTAGACAAAACAGTTATGAGGTGGAAGGACATTATGACATCGTGTATAATTCTTTCTTGTGTGCTCTCAGTAACGGAGATGCTGGTCAACGTGTTGAACATCTGTTCAGATGATGAGCTCATGTCAGAGGGAGACGACACCTGCGAAGGTAAAAACAAGCCAGTTATTCATATGAGCTTCATTTTGTGATTGACGTTTTTCAGCATTGTAGCATCCGGATTTTGCTGGCAAATGAATTAAGAGGAGCACTCTGTTGGAGGTCTGCATGAAATTAGGAAAAAAGCTGACACTGCTATGTTTATGGAAAAAAATAATTTGCAGAAATAACTACAAAATTTCTAAGCTTTTAGGGCTCAACATATTTTCAAAAAGCTTCACAGTAATCATTTTTTTATTTTTTCATGAAATGATTGTAGTACTATTCAGGAGGATACTATTTCATTCTTTCTACTTCAATCTTTGATGTTAATTTCAGTGTTTTACTGGCAGTTTCTAAATAATAATGGAACACTAGTTTTCTAGTGTTTTCTATTGTCTTGTTTTTATAGGCCACTGTTTTGATCAATTCAGTATGACTACATTAAGAAACAATAATAATAATAATAATAATAATAATAATAATAACAATAATAATAATAATAAAAACAAACTAAATTCAGTAAAATGTATTTACTTTTTTTTTATTTTTTTTTTATAGAGTTTTTGCATAAAAAATTGGCATTTTAAAACCCTTTTAACTTTAGCTACTAATGTTTAACAAAATCTAATTCCAACGAAGTACAAAACACTTATTGAATTCAATATTAAAGTATGCTCCATTGGCCTTCTCATTGAAAAGTCTTCTTCCTTTCTATTATTTTGTCTTCTCAGTGTGGATTTGAGCTCTGTTAAATATATACCAGCATGCCCCTCTTCTCATCAAATAATAGTTCCCTGATTAATGTGCATTAGTCCTCAGTGAATAACCCATATATTTCCATTTAGGACACTATATTCTTGTGTGAGGGTTGCTTTGAATATGAATTCAGCGTTAATTGTGGGATTTTTTAAAAATGTGCTGCCTGCTTTGTTTCACCTGTTTGAAGCATTTCATGATTAGTTCTTGTTTTTGTTTCCATTTTATTTCAGACTACAGGTGAATAAGGATTAAAAATGAAGTTATGCTTTCCAAGTCGATTGCAATAATAATTGCAACTTTTTTTTATTGGACGTTATCTTCAAATGAGGCAAATTTTAATAAATGTACATTCATTTTCTTACATTCCTAGCACACAAAATGTCTAACATTGGAGGAGGTCAAATAGATTTTTTTTTACATATCAAACTGTAAGGTTTTGAGAATCTCTTTCTATCTCTCAGAAAATACTGTGCACAGCAAAAAAATAAATTAAAAAATGTGTTTATATAATTGATGTATATATACTCAGGCCATATTATGCAGGGCTAGAAATTAAATTTCTTACTTGGTAGCACCGGTGCTCCCAACCTGAAATATTTAGGAGCACCAGACAACATTTAGGAGCACCCACCAAAAATGAATGATATATTTGACATGTTGTATTATAAGGGATTTATTGTATTTGAAAACAACGTCAATTGGGACTAACAAAACCCAGAAACAACTATCTAACTAATGCTGTGATGACTTAATATTTGTGCAATAATTCCAACATGAATGTTGAATAATTATAAAATATCAATGATGACGATGATGACAATAATACTAATAATGAATTGTATTTCTCATCATCATGCTGCCTTGAATGTGCTTTAATGTAAGTTATCTGCTATATAAAGTCCTACTGTTACTTTATGAAAAATAAATTGATGGTTTGCATCAAACACAAATGAAGCATTGCAGTAAGAAATATTTATTTTGTACTATTGTTTTTATGTGCATATCAGTTTAATAAATAATATTTCTGCTACAAAGCAGTTATCAGTAATTAAATAGAAAAATAATATACATATCAAGAAAGAACGGACAAAAGAAAGGAAGAAAAGTTTCACTTATAAAAGTTTTGGTTTCAGTTCGTGACGTTTTAATGCTCAGCCTCGTTACGCGCTGAATTACATTTTTCTGTGTTTGCGGAAAAGCATGCGAGTTAGCCGGCCCAATATGAGGGGGGCAGAGCAGGATTCTCCCCATGACCACCGGCTCAATACTGTTCTTTGTTATAACCCGCATCAGTTTAAACTGAGTAAAGGCATGCTTCTTTGGCGATGGTGTTTTAGCAGACATTTGCGCTGTTGCAGCCTGATCTCACGAGGAAACGTATGAAAAAGTTACGAATTGCTGTGAGATTGTGTTGGCTGAACACGCAGGGCATGCAACGCATCGAGATTCAGTGTACTTTTCACTCTTCAGCCGTTTGCAATCCCCGCGGTCACAAAAGCTCCCTCCCCGTCATCTGACAGCGGAAAGTCTTGAGTGATTGACAGCTAATATGAACCAATATAGCGGCAGGGAAGACCGATTTTACCACGTTTTTAGAAAAAAACCAAAACAGGTCGCACTACAACTATTGTATGCAGTCGCACGAATGGTCCCAATATATATTATGAGGTCGCATAGATTAAATTTCGGGCGCATATGCGACCAAAATGGTCGCAGTTTCGAGCCCTGTTATGCATGTACTTATCCTTCTGTAAAAAAAGTACTAAAAACCTTCAGAATATGAATAAAACTTTAAAGTTTTGTGTTCGTAAATGTTACTATAAAGTACAGAATTATCGAGTAACTCGTTTAGTAGAAAATCTCATCTTTCATATGTGCTTATGACTTAAAAAAAAAAAAAAAAAAAAAAGTCAATACATTAAAATGATCATCGCTTTTTAGCCAAACATGCCCTTGGCAGTTTACACGAGACAATCTGGGTCTCTCCAGTCAGTCGCTTCAGTAATTGCAAATGAATTAGTGTTCTTAATGCGAGAGCCGTGAAGTACAGTGAAGCCTCTCTCCTGCTGTACTGAAAGCAGATGAAGCTGATCTAAACGCCCCCAGCCCACATCTGAAGAGCTGTCATGAAGGAATACAGTGTCCCATTTACTCTTCTTGATGCCCGATTGATTTGTCCTTCTTTTTTTTCAATGGTGCATAATTTTAACTTGGCCTGACACACTTCCTCTGTGTGTCTGTGAGCCTCTGAGTTTCGAAATGGGGTTTATTTATTCCTTATGGGAGTTCAGAATGTAATGCCTCATTTGATCTGGAGTATGTTTGACTCCAGCTGTGAGATTAAGACTAGTTCGCAGGTAATGATCTGTCTTATTGTATTTATACTAGTTTTACAAGGGCTCAAGTTGACATGTGCATTTTAAAACCGTTCTCAGTGTACCCTCAGTGAATCTTACTGTATTTTTTTCTCTCTCTATCTCTGTTCTTGTTTGTTTGTGTGTGTGCATTTGTGGCAGGTGGTACCCCGGCAGTCCGCAAGGAGGTGATCCGAAATAAGATTCGTGCCATTGGCAAGATGGCCAGAGTTTTCTCTGTTCTTAGGTGAATATAAATCCCTCACATACAGAGCAAGTCCCTTATGGACTGTGGTTCTGTGCACACACAGTGCTTTTTTTCTGCACTGACATTCTAGCTGTAAAACAAACAAACCACAAAAAAACATGCTAAGCCTTTTAAAAAATAAAAATAAAAAGGAGCAATATTTGTTAGTGGTATAAAATGTCATTATTGAATTATGTGGTATTATTAGGTTTATTGATTATTGATTTTACTTTGTATTAGGGTTGCTATAGTTGAATAATATTAAAGGCAGTTACTTTTTAACTATTTTTTATTAAAGACAAATGACTATAATAAATATACATTTAACTGAATATATTGTATAATTACCAAAATCTAACTTATTAACAATTGTTGTGTTGTACTTTATGCTAAATACATTTAGCATAATACTACACAGCATAATACAACACTGCCACTTTATTAGGTACACCTGTCCAGCTGCTTGTTAATGCAAATCACATGGCAGCAACTCAATGCATTTAGACATGTAGATATGGTCAAGACCATCTGCTGCAGTTTAAACTGAACAACTGAAGAAAAGGGATTTAAGTGACTTTGAACATGGCATGGTTGTTGGTACCAGATGGGCTGGTCTGAGTATTTCAGAGACTGCTGATCTACTGGGATTTTCACGCACAACAATTTTTAGGGTTTACAGAGAATGATCAGAAAAATACCAAATATCTAGTGAGCGGCAGTTCTGTGGGCCAAAAGCCTTGTTCAGTTGTTTTCTTGCCACATTTTGGACCCATTAGTACCAATTTAACCATGTCATAAAGCGCGAATCATCTCAGACTGGTTTCTTGAACATGACAATGAGTTCACTGTACTCAAATAGCCTCCACAGTCACCAGAACTCAATCCAATAGAGCACCTTTGGGATGTGGTGGAACGAGAGATTTGCATGATGCATGTGCAGCCGACAAATCTACAGCAACTGTGTGATGCTATCATGTCAATATGAATGTCTGAGGAATATTTCCAGTACCTTGTTGAATCTATGCCATGAAGGATTAAGACAGTTATGAAGGCAAAGTGGGTCCAACCCAGTACTAGTTAGGTGTACCTGATAAAGTGGCCAGTGCGCATATATGTTCTGTGCTTGTGTTAATGATATGACATACTGTTAAAATAATGTATGTATGGAAGTGTATGTAATGAAGTGTTTTTAATTGGAAAATTAAAGATAAACTGTAAATTTGCATTCGCTCAAGATGACCTAATTTGTTGAAACATCTTGCTCATTTTGTTTTTGTATGATAAGGTTAACCTTTATGTTGTTTTTTTATTATTATTTTTATTATACTAGAAGAAAGTAACACACTTAAGTCACATAATGTGCTCTTTTTCCGAGGCAATGGTAGTTCAGATTGTAATGTCAACCCTAAAATCAAATAAATATTAATCAAAGGGAAAAAATGGTATTTTAATAAAAGATTTCTCCATGTACACACAATACTCAATATAGCTTAAGGCTTAAAGAACATTTTGTTGATCTGGTCACTTCACATTACATTCAACTGGAACTGAAAATGAGATAATAGTTTCAGTACCACATGAAACCAGCAAGAGTTTTTTTGTTTTGCTATTTTGGACTCCTTACATTTAAAACTTATGTGAATTCATAAACCTGAAAGGAAAAGTTAATCCAGTCATTTTACTCTTCCTTCACTTTCCTCTAAGTATCTCTCTTATGTTGTGAACAAAAGATATTCTGAACTATTGATTTCCTCATTTTACTTCGCTACAGAGTAAGTGAATGGCTATTGTCAACAGTCTGGTTGCAGACATGCTTCAAAATCTTATGTCTTCAGAAAAAGAATAAATATAGACCAAATAAATGTTGTTTTTGGATGAACTTTCTCTTCAGACCTGTCCCTTTCATTACCATCCATTTTAAAGTAAACACTATCTGACATTGTTGTCATCTTTTAACCATGTATGCATGTTTTGTTTTCTTTCAGAGAGGAGAATGAGAGCGTGCTGCAGTTAAAGGGCTTGACCCCCACTGGGATGCTGCCTCTAGGTGTGCTGTCAGGGGGCCGTCAGACCCTCCAGAGCGGTGAGTCTCTCCCCCGTGCCTCCTTCAGCTCTGTCTGCGCTGCTGTGGAGGACCAAACCTGCTCTCCACCAAACCCCTGCTACCCTCTCACACTTTTTCTCTCAGTCTTTCTGTCTCTCTCCATTTCTCTGTTTCTGTCACCCGCTTTGGCCTCTCTCACTGTGCAGCTTGCCCATTCTTCAAATTAAGATCTGGGTTTGGTCATGATTTTCAATCAACTCAGTTCGAATTCCAAGCGCTGCAGAGATGGCAGCTAAGTGCCAAGAAGCCGCTGTGGGTGATGCTTTCGCAGTGAGAGGGGCTCCGTGAGCTTATGACTGTGACGCAATATGACCCGATTTAGCTTGTGCCTGTCGGTGTGCCATCCTTTTTCTCAAGGCCTTCACTGTACAAACTCACCAGCCTGCTGCATCCCAAACGCCCCTTCTACTAACAAACACATTAACACGGACAGGTTTGTTTTCGATGAAACGTAGTGCATTTCTCATTTATAGCTTTTATCTGGAAGAAGCTTAAATAGGACTTTCTTTGGAGAAGTGTCTCGCAGTTTTGACATTCCAAACTTGAAATTTTCAATTTTTCTTATTTGCAGGCAATTTCATTCAGAATTCAAAAGAGAAAATCTAAATTCAAATATGATCAAAATTCTCCGGTTTTTATTATTATTATTATTATTATTATTATTATTATGCGCAATTCCAGGATGTCCGCTGGGTCTTAAAATGTCTTTAATTTCCAAAACAAAATTGTAAGCCTAAAAAAGCTTTAAATTTACTGAAATATTGTGTTGTAGGTCTTAAATAATTTTCAACAAGTCTTTATTTTGCTTTGCCCAAATAATGCTACTTAGTCAGGTAGAAAACCATTCAATGACCAACAATACATCTCAATAAAACCTTATTTTTATATATTTTGTTGCCAAGAGATGCAATTTACAGCAGCTGTTGAACATTTTTACAGCAAATTCCCCAATTTAAATTCCCTAATCGTGGAAAATTAAAAACCATTACACTGTTCCACATGATAATACCAGGCCATTAGAAAAGAAATCCTTAGTCTTTAACTCTGTATAAATCTAAAATTTCATTCTTATAAATTTTAAATTTGAGTTAATGAACCAGACCTCTGTGTCGATCTCTCAATGCTGAGTTAAAATTGCAAATCTGATTTTTTTTTTTCTTTTTCTGAACTGTGAGATGTGAAGTCAAAATTGCAATGAATTATAAATTGTGTCTGAAACAGACTGCCAAAGTTTTATGAGTTTTGTAAACACAATACAATTTTTCCAGTAATCTACAGATGTCATTTCTTTCAAATTTGAGATGAAAATGTTTTGTTTTTTGCATTTAATAACAAAAAATGTGTCCTGTTTACAGACATGCTTGTATTCAGTTTTAGAAAACACTCTATCCACTCTTTGCGAGTGCACATGCTCAAGACTGGGAGGCAATAATACTGAACCACTTAGATGATGGGCTTTCACTGAGACATTTTGGAATGAACGAAAAAAAATGTGATCAGTCTGCTGGTTTGTCCATTTAATGTGGTCCATTACATCATTTTTAATTATTAAATGATCTCTTATAACACGATCACATTACTTTTATTAATGCAAAAACTAGAATTTTTTCAGTGAATGTGTTTTCATCATAGTTTATGCACTTTCTTACCGGATAAAATATTTATCCTTCTCGGTTGTGCACAAATTATAATTGCACATTTTTTACATTTTATTTACACGCTTCTTTGCATTTCAATTCAATTCTTTTTTAATGCCACACTTCAAAATGCACATAATTAAAAGGTGGATGGGAACATGACTACTTTCTAAAAAAAAAAAAAAACAACAACACAATTCCTTTATTTCTAAAATTTAAAGAAATTCTATAGCCACTAAAGGGATAGTTCACCCAAAAATCTAAATGTGCTCACCTCAGGCCACTAGCAGAATATTAAAAAGGATTTTTAGCTGTGATTGTGATCTCATTGTGGACTCAAGTGCTATCAAACTCAAGCTCAACTTGAGCTACAAAAACCCCCATACATTCATATTAAAACTAATAACCATGACTCTTGAAGATCCACTGAGGTTTTATGAAGCAAACCAAACAAAAACAGAACATCAAAGGTCCTGTTTAATCTTCTACAGAATTCACTTCATGGATGTAATGGTGAATGTTCGGTTTTGAGTGAACTGCCCCTTTAAATTCGCTGACCCTCTTGTTTAGGTCAAATGTCAAGGAACAATGAAGCACAACAGTTTCTATAGCACTGGGGGAGGGGGATGTAAACAAAAAAGCTCTTCAGTAGCTGAAATTAACAGTAAACTACATGTTGCTCAAAACTGTCTTGCCTCTCATCTTCCTGTGAAAGCCACAAATAAGCTGTCATCAAGCGTATACAGTGTTGCATGCTGTTTTTTTTGTTTGTTTTAAACGGAGAAAGCCTCTCCTTGTTTGGCTATTTTATACCTTCAGCTTCAAAAATAGACTCATCCATGTCAAGAGTGGTTCAGAAAGCCTTTGCATCTCAGGTTCAAAAGCATGGTTTCTCGAAAACAAACCTCACCAGAAAAGAAAAAAAAATGTCTTGAGATCTGTTTATGTCCCGGATGAAGCAGCTAAACTAACCTCTCAGGTTTCTTCCTGTGTTGGCATGTGAAGCATTTGGGCTGATGGTGGGATGGGGAAGATGAATGAATGGGAAACGGGGAGGGGGATTGAATGGACTTGTGATTGCATTGATAACTTGACTCACTTTCTTTCCCCGTTCGTTTTGGGCATGGCACTACTACTCATGCTTACACAGCCACCGTAGAAGCAGAGGAAGCACGAGGTATGCAAGACATCTGTGAAACCTTCTCTGTGTTGTCTGTCTGTCTCCCTCCCCCTGTGATTAACTGCCTGTCCTTCGTGTGCATCTCGTCTTTTTGTAGTCGCCGGTGTCTTCATTTTAATCTGTGTTTGTGTGATTTTCACGTGCTTGTTACATTTACAGCTAGCACTTTTGTTTGATTTGCACGTTAAGGTGTTGTGTGCTGTTCCTTTGTGTCGTTTGTTTTTTCTTTTCATTTGTTTGCATTTAATGATGGAGTAAATTATTGTACAATTCATCTAAATTATTTCACAAGTCAAAATTTAGCGACAATCACAACATATTTTCTTTTTATAGTGTGATAAATGGTAACACTTTATCCTATTAGTCAAGATTGGTCTGTGTTCACTAACATGAAGAAACCATGATTTATTACGGTAATTACAGTAGTAAACTTCATGTTAGTAAACACAATAACTAACATTAATTTAAACTAATTGTAAAATGCAAACTGATAAACAAATGACATTAAAACCACCAGTTGGTGGCGACAAGTTCTTGTTTTAATGACTGATTCACTGAATCTTCATTCAAATCATTTGTTCAAAACAGATGATTTATTTGGACTCTAAGCAAGTGACTGTCTTTCTGAATGGATTGTTAAATTATTGATCTATTCTCTTCACTTAATTCAGTAACCAAACATTGTAGTGTTGCTCTGAGCTGTTCAAACTTTTTAATCGGGCTTACATTTGTTAGCAAAACAAACACACAAAAAAACACCAACGCAATATTGTCTGAAATATAACTCCCTTAATTACAACTATTTGTTTGTTGAACTATAATCCCATTAGCGATCACACTAACTTGCTGATATTCGGGTCTGTGTTGATGTACTAACTTGGTGTTAGTTCACCTAAAATGAAAATGGTTATTAATTAATCATATCCTTCAAAATGCTTGAAACATTTGTTTGTCCTCAAAACGCAAATTAACATATTTTAGATTTGATCTCAGACCTCTCTCATCCTTCTCAAACACAATGGTTCCCCATTAGTTGAAAGTCCAGGTGGATAATTTTTTTTTTTCTAAACAATCCATATATATTATAAAGCTACAAGAATACTTTTGTGTGCACATAAAAATAATGACTTTATTCAACTGTTTCTTCTCTTCACTGTCAATACATTGTGCATGTTCACAAGCACTGTGCAGTGATCTATACCCCTGCCCAACTCGAGTACAGGCGCATCCTTGGTAATGTGTCAGAGGTGTGACGCAAAACATGCAGCCTATACTGACACTGAGGAGAGGAAATTGTTAAGTAAAGTTGTTATTTTTGTTTTGTGTGCACAAATGTATTCTTGTTGCTTGATATTTCAGTTGAACCACTGAAAGGATATGATCTGTTTTGAGGATGTTTTTTGGTAATTTTCTGGACCATCTCAGGACCATTGCTGTCTAGAGAGGATAAGGGAGCTCACAGATTTCATCAAAAATATCTTAATTTGTTTTCTGAAGATGAACGAAGCTTGAATGTGATTAATAAATAACACATTTTTTTTTGGGGGGGGAGATAAACTAACATTTAAAAGAGTAGTTCACCCAGAACTAATTGTAATCATTTATTGACCTTTTGTCCAAACCTGTATGGCTTTCTTCCATTGGAACACAAAATATATATTTGACAAATGCATCCATACAACGGTAAAAATGATTTAAACTTTCACAGTATAATCCTAAATGTTTCAAAACGTCGTCCTTTTCTTGTGTTCCACAAAAGAATGTCAGTTTGACTTGACTGACTTGAGGATAAATGAATGATTGCATTTGATTTTGAGCGAACTATCTTTTTAACTCATGGTGAAATTGATAGATGTGGCTGACAGGAAAGGACGTTTCAGAAATTTCTCACAATCATGAACACAAGCGTTTCAGTCACAGCTGTTTTGAGAGGGGAAGCCGTAGACAGGGGTGGGAGCCGACCGCAGCATGAGACTGAATCTTTGTTTTTATCAGTTTCACTTCCTGACCAACAAGCACACAAGTAAACTCAAATCTAGGCCTCTTTTTGCCTTTAATTCTAGGCTTGATGTACATTAGATTTTCTGCTTAATGCTATCTAAACTAGCTTAAACTGTACTGCACGCCCTTGACTTTGTCTTTTCACTCGTCTCAACTGCCTGATTGGTATATTTAGCTTTATTTCATTTTTTTGTGGAAGAACATCCTACATATAGTAGTTGTGCCACTTCAGTGGCTGTAAAGGTTCAGATCTAATTAAGTTCAAGTTGAGTTTAAATTCGCAATTAAAATTATATTAAAATATTTGTGCCGTATTGGATAATTGTTTAGTGAAATAAAATCTTTAAAAAAACAGTGTTTTATATTTTCCTGGTATTTGGGTACAAAAATTAACACTGCATGATTTTAACTATAAACTAATAGAATGTAATAAATAATAAAACCGTAATAAATTAATAACAGAGTATTAAATGGAATAATTCTATTTTACCTGGTTATTTTTAATAATCTAAATTAGAGTTCTTTTAAAAGAGATTGTATGGTTCCAATATGAGGATTACACGTGTCTTCTATAGTAAGATTCACTATAGATGCAACTAACAGTAATTTAGAGGATACTCGGCTAGATTGAAGATTTCTTTCTGTCCATCCAAGAACAAGAAAATGCTAAAATCAGAGATTCCGCTTTCTGTGAGTTCACAATTATCAAAGTTGTCTAACATGTTGTCTTGCACATGAATGTTTTAAATCAGTTTTCCTTGTGATGCAGATTATAGTTAAACGTTGAATTTTAATCCACTGATTAATGTCATCTCAGTGGATTTTGAACCATAGATAAAGGTCCATAGATACATTTAGAGACATTTACCATAGATACATTTAGCCCTAAATGAAATGTTTACAAACATTGTAAACTTATTTTAGTTCACATAATATGTGTAAAACAAACTAATTATTATCACTATAAACCACATTTATTATAAACATCAAGCCTAGACAAATGTCTTTGAGGTGTAACGGTTTGTGTTTTATTGCACAATACAGTATATATATATACACACGTTTATCTTGTTTGGCATGAATGCAAATGTGTGCTGTTTTTCATGTTCCCCTTTTTTGGCATTAGTTGCTTTTGTAATATAAGTCATGGAACATTCCCCAAAAAAGTCATCCCCATTGACACTAAGAATAAATATAGAAGTGCACACCCCAGTAATAATCGTTCTCTGCAGCTTTAAATGTTAACACTCCTTAAAGCAGGATAGGTTTGATTGGCTGCCAATTTTTATAATTTAATAGCTAAATTATGCTCTACACAGAACATTTCTTAAAAACTTTGTAGACACTACGCACTTTGTTACTAATATGGGAAGAATGATGTTGTGTGTTTTTGTTCCCAAATAAAGATTGTCAAGCATTCATTGTAAATGAGGAGTAAAAAAAAAAAAAGACTAAACATTTTCAAATGCTGTTTATGCATATACTTATTAAATATACTTACAAATGAAGTACTTTTTAAGTCGTTTTTGGTTATATTTGTTTGCTGGTTGAATAAATGTAAAAATATACTTAAATATTTTGTTATTTACAATCCACTGAAACCTTTTTTCATCAAAACACAAAGATATTTTAGATGAAATCCGACAAAAATGTTGTCAAAACATTCCATGTAAATTTAATTGTTCAACTGTAATCATGCAAAGCTCCAAGAACAATTTTCTGTGCCTAAAAACAACAGCATGTTGCACTGCTGACTCTACTGGCAGTATGTTTTACTGCCCCTAGTAATCACGCTCACTGATCTGTTGTGGAAGAGAAGTCAAAGGCAAACATAGTCTTTTTTAAATGTTTTTTTTTTGGTGCACAAAATTGTTCTTAAAGTTTTGTATGATTACAGTAAAACAATTGAAGTTGCATGAAAAGTTTTGGTTTTGGAATGACTCAGGAAGACCATCACTGTCAATGGAGGATGAGGGAGCTCTCAGATTTCAGCTAAAAATCGTAACTTGTGTTCCAAAGATGAAGGAAGGTCTCGGGGGATTAAATCAACACTAATTAATCACAGAATTTCCATATAAATATACAAGTACTTTAGATGGAAAAAGTCATTTTGGAGTGTTATAAAAATATAGCCACAAGTCTTAATGTCAAGTATAGTTCAATTTATAATTGTTCACTATCATGCACTGTAATATTCACACATTATGCACAAGGATACCAATAAGATTCAAAACTAACTATTTGTTACTGATCAGCCACTTCATGCCGTCTAACTTTGTTCTTCAATACTTGCAGCTATCCAAGGCTTCAATCCTCAACACAAGATCCAAAGCTTCGAGGAAGCACGCGGGCTGGACCGGATAAATGAGCGAATGCCTCCACGCAGGGACACCAAGCAGCCAGACGGCACTGCCAACTCCATCAACGCAGCCAATTCCCCCGACAAGAATGGCACCAACACACAGGCGTAGTAACCTAGCAGCTACCTAGCGCTCTCCCTCATCCTTTCCTTTCTGTCTCTTTTGTTTTTTTATTTTTGTTTTATTTTCTTCTCTCTGTCTGTCTCTCTCTTTTTTCCTCTCATTCTCTCTCTTTTTGGTAGAGGTGATGCCCCCTACATGCTAAACTCTCCTGGACCATTTCGGGGAGAATCGCACAATACCATGAAGAGGGCGTAGTGAAAAAACAAACCATGGTTCTTATTTATTTATTGATTATAGATGATAAGAAATTTAAGATCTGTAACGGTGGGATGAAATTAAGATGAATGAATACCTACATGATGGAATATTACATGTGTACATAAAATACAGAATATATATATATAGACATAGCATTGGGGTGGTTGTAAGGTCATCTTAGATTCTGTAGTTTAAAAAGAAAAACAAACAAAAAAAAATACAATCCATTTTGTAAATTTGCATTTATAAATTAGATTTATTTCTGCCTTTTTTTTTCGTTTCTTTTTTTTTTTTTTTTTTTTTTTTACAACCAAGACTTGCTTTATCATTGTTTGTGCTCTCGGCAAATGAATTCTTGGCCCGATATAATTATATCGAATGTTTTAATTATGTAATCATTATATTTGTGAATACCCAAAGCAAGTATGATAATTGTTAAAGCAAATTAAACAAAAAAGAAGTTTTGTTATTGAAACCATATGTGGGAAAATATCTTCATAATGCCAATTATAGCTAAGGGGAGTGCATTAATAACAAGTGTTGACACATTTATACATACGTGTACATTTTCAAGTGTTCCCTCAACCAAACGTGATGTTTACTTAGTTTTTATTTGTTTTCTTTTTCCTGTTCATAACTCAAACTGCACCCATTCGTAATCAAACGGCGGTAAAAGCATAAACCATCCCAAAAAAAATCAGGAAGGATGGTAGGAGGAGCAATTGTGTCTGCATGTTTTTTGTTTACTTTTTCCCTCCATTTTCTTGTCACGCTTTTGTGGCCTAATTCCGCTCACTTTTAGACGTTTCACCAGTACTACAGCTGTTAAAGGCATGATTTTACACTTTGTTTTTTTTGCCTAACTGCTTTAGCAGTCAAATAAATCCCATAAAATGTGCGTTAAATAGCGAGGGTGAGGTTATACATTTCAGAACATGCGCATACATGCCTTAGATCTCAATATAAATGAAACTTGTTAATCTGAATTTACTTTTTCTTGCCTTTTTTATTTTCCCTTTCTACAAAACAGTTCTAGCCCACAAGTTGGCTGTTTTAAACATTAAAACTCATTTAATTAGATCTTATTTTGTACCTATCAACACACTTGTAAGTATCTTCAGCGCTAGTATTTCTATAGCTGCGCCTGTATTCTCTAGAGTGGACCATTTTCCACGCATATGATTGACTAAAGCCTCATCTTTGCTTTTACCTGAAGCAAAGCAACGTTCTTTTGAATGCTTTTACTGTGCTGTGTGTTTTGAGAGGAACAGAATTTGCAAGAACTGTTTACCAAATCGTCTTTTCAGATCTTTTGTTTTGCTTTTTCGTTTTCTAAACTGTACTGTTATCATTGCGTAAAATTCGGCGGCTGAAGATTTCGCTGCGCTAAGACTCTGACGTCCTGTACGTTACACGTTTGAGGTCATGTGCCATGCTAATAACTATAGCAAGAGTCCTGCGCGCAGGCATCGAGACTGTCGCTCGCATGTATTTTTTTCGTTTTATTTAACGCCGCAAGCGGTTCAGGACTTGCTTGCGCTAAACTCCATTTTTCGTGGTGCACATCTTAAAACGAGACTCTGCGAGGGGAAAACCTGCATGTTATCATTAATGTATTTAAAAGTAACTCTCTCATCCAAAGAAAAGAAAATCAGTGTTTTAATGTAATATATGGCTTTATCATTTAAAAAACAAAAACAACAAAAAAAAAACCTGCTGATTGTATTTGATCGTTGCCTCTCCATTCACTTGAGAAGAGGCGAGCGCTCAATCGGCGTAGTCGTGTAGACACTCTTTAACGAAAAGAAAAAAAACGCCTCGGTTAATTTAACGCTTTACTGTTTGCGATATAAAACAACAACCTGAGAGAGGCCTAAAACCCTTAAACAGGTACCAAAAGTTGACCCCATGACCACCTTTTCGTGTCCTCTTTTTAAGTGTTTGTCTTTTCAAGTCTTTGTTTTATGTAATGAGCCTCAGCAAACTATTGTTTTGTTTAGTTTCCTTCATGTTTAATTTAAAAGCGGATGTCTGGTGTGGGTTTTGGGTCGGGAAGGGAGGTTTTTGTTTGATATTGGAGAGGAATTGGGGGTCGTTCCGACCACCGACCCCTATTTAGGAGGGCTTCTGTTACGAATTCCAAACATATCTTGCAGAATCTACACAATGTTTAGACATTTTGATTTCATTTTTTTGTTTTGTTTCTTTCTTAATAGCTAATAAAAGAGGACGGCGGAGGAGTTTGTGTCAAGTACTTGTATTGCGAGGCCTCTATAAATCTTGATTTATGTTGATGTATCGCTCCATTTAAAAAAAGAAAAACGAAAGTAAAATGAAATACAAAAAATGTTGGGGAAAAAAAACTGGTGTCGTTTCTTTATTTTCCTGTCTTGAATTGTGTGTTTTTTTGGAAATTGGATTGTTTCCAGATTCTTCTCCCTCTATATTGCCGCTGCTTTTACTGTTTGAGTGGCTGATGGATGGCACACTAGTGTTTTGTAAGACCGGCTTTGTCATTTTCTCCTCTTTATCCAAGTCTGTGCTTGTCAAGGTTTTCTCTGATTACGACGCACACATTTTGAACATTCTGTGCTTGAAGGACAGCTAGTGTATTGTTACCTGTCTGAACACGGCCCACACATACAAGCGCATGCCTAGCGAGCCTGAGATTGTATCACATGAGATAAAGAATTCACTGGAATTCAGTGTTGTTAAACTGTAACTCAATTAACACTAAAATGCTGTATCTTTCAATTACATATTTTCAATAAGCAAAATTTCAGGTTTTTAATGAATACTTTATATTTATGTTATATCTCTATTATTAAAACTATAATTCAAATATGAAATAAAAACATTCAAATAAAATATGCATTATTAAATACCTTTTTACATCACTTTTACTGTGCAACACTATTAATGATGATAGAATCTTCCAAAATGCAGTGATTTATGTCTTTTGCGTGAGTTTCTGCTCAGTTTTCAAGCCTGAAGGTCTTGCTTGAATGATGTTTTGCACTTGTTTAGTTTGCGCTCGTGTGAAGTAAGTAGCTCAGCACAAAATAAAATCACTTTTATTTTACTAAAAGTCCTTGAATGGAAGCCGGACCTCAAAATAACATGTTATAACATAGAATGTTTTACAAACCCTCATTTGATGCAGTTTTAAAGCCTGCTCGTTCTAAAAGGTATAAGTTGACCTAAAACTGAAAATTCTGTCATCATTTAATCACCTTTTACCTGTTTCTGTTTGACTTTAGGCATGAGCCAGTATAAGTTTCTGACGGTATAGTAGCCTTGGATAAAAATATCCCGGTATTGTGATTACTGCTTTAAAATAAATTCTTTTAAAATGTCTGGGTAAAAGAATATCGAACACAATATTTTTTATTTTAGAAAATATTTATAATATTTTGGAACAATAAACATGTCAGGCTAAATCATTCAAATAAATAATTTACTTCTGCTGTTTTTGTTAGTTTCAAAAACACAAATTTCTTTACAAGACATAAAAAAAAATCGTACATATACCTAAGGAATAGTATGACAGAACATTTTAGCAGTTTTAAAACATTGTCTTTTCTAAACCACGGTAAACCTTGAAACTGGTTATTGTGCCTACCCATACTGACTTATCTTTTCTATTTAACAGAAGAAAATATTTTAGAACCTGTAACCACCATATTTTGGTTTTGTTCTACTATTTTATAAAGGTTTGGGACCACTCGAGGGTGAGTAAATGGTTAGCAACTCTTCATTTTTGGGTGAACTATCCCTATTAACCAATTAAAAAAATTATGTTCTTATTACCGTATTATAAACCATACATGGAAAGTTCATTGGCAACAAGCCGCTCATATCATTCTAACAATAGGTTCATTAACCATACAATTTGTACCACCTAATTATTATTACAATTATACTCTGAATTTAATTAGCATGTTAAACATAATATCTATTTTAATGTGGGGTGTGCAAAACTAACGCATTTAAATATAATGTATCATTTAAATGAACCTGAGCTTGTAAAATACTATAATATGTTTGTGAATTCAAGTATATGCGAGATAAATATGCTGCTAGATATATGGAGGTTAGTAAAATTTTAGTTTTGATTATTTGTTCAATTTTATATGTACTGTATGTGGTAGTATGGGGCTGTTGAATGCTTGATTCTGATTAGTTAGTGAACCTTCTAGGGACTGCATGGGTTTATGTAGTTAAAGGTCTTTACCAAATTACAATTCCATGTCAACATTCTTTGGAAATGTAGGAAAACACAGAGGAAGTTTGAAGACTACAACTTGACAAATATGTTAAAATACAACATCTTATTCTGAACAATGTCTTAAGGTGTGGTAACTCTAGTTAAAGCAGAATAATTTACTCCAGTTCATTGAATTATTAGAAAATAATGAACACTTCAGGTTTAACAACCACTCATCACCATCTTGGGTGTTTGCATAATTGAAATAATTAAATGGACGCATCGTCAATTATTTCTGACTTACACTACAAGGCAGTGAAATGCTTGATTCTGATTGACTGGTAAACATTCTAAAATGTGCAATTATTTTAAGGGAACTGCACTGCGTTAAATCCACATTCATTATATATTAATTGACTCTGACTGATTCTGCAGCTGATTAAGGCTGCATCACCGCCTCCCTTTTCTAATAATCTTTAATTATTCATTACTTAATTGACTTGATAAATTAGTTGACTGATGCATCTAGAAATAAGTTAACAATCTAAACTCCAGTAAATAAAATCATGGGTTATTAACACTGATACCCATGTTAACAATTAATCAAAAGTATTCACAAACGATAATTTAACTTTTTTCATTGCTAAACCGATGGGTTAGCATTTATATTTGCGGTGTTAGTGACTTTGATTGGACATAACTGCCTAGTTCAATCAAAAATGAAACCAAAACATTTTTGGTCTTTACTGATGCCATATATATATTTATTTATTTTTTATTCAAATTATTTACTTTTTTTTTTTTTTTTTGGTAATCCCAAAAGAAGATGGGTAAATGTTCATTTTTGAGTGGACTATCACTTTTAAAGCAGTGATTCACAAAGTGGGGGTTGTGAGACAATGACAAGGTTGCTTGGTGATTTCCATAAGTCAGATAAGTTTGATTAAAAAAAGTTAGTATTACCATTTCTATCCATGACCCACAGAAGATA